TTGTCTAGTTGTAAAATCTAATCCAGCTTTGTTCATTCTAAGAGACTGAGTATAGCGGTTCAAATTGGTTTATATTATATGGTTACAGCTAATCGGCAAAAAGCTTAGTATAATTTAAGCTTTATAACTGTTAGTACTCTTCAGCAATCATGAAACTTCAGTCCAGGAACTTCTATCAATTACCTCTAACCAACTAGTAAAACTTCGAATTCCTGAACGTCATAAAACTACTGAAATGCGTGAAAGCAACAGAACCAGATAGAATTTCGCCAGAATCCTTGGGTAAAGACACAAGGAAAACTGCGGACATGTTTATACTACTACTGTAGAGGGTTTGGAAGGAAGGAATGGTAGCTGTTGATTAGGAGAAGGACTAAATTGTCAAACTCCAAATGAAGGGAGGCTCAAGTCTTTGCAAGAACAGTCGAGAAATCATGATCCACTCCTGTCCATCACAAACAAAATATTATGTCGCACGATACTGAACAGAAAATAAACGATAATCTGGATTCTTAACTACCACCGAAACACGATGACTGGCTGGATTCAGCAAGTACAAATCATGCACCAACCACATTGCAACGATACACTACACATCATCAAACAACACAGTATAGAATGACAGTCAACTCAACTCAACTCGACCACCACATCAAATTCATCGACTTTCAAAAGACCTTTGACACAGTCAACCGAGATGTGATTTGACAGGCAGCTGCTTCAACACTACATAATACCACAAACCCTCATCAAACAAATTCAACAAGTATATGATGACACGACATGCCAGCCAAGTGATTCACAATGCGAAGCTCAATGATGCCTTCGAAGTGAAGTGAAGAGAGGAGTAAGACAAGCCTGTCACCTACTATCACCCATGATATTCCACATTGTGGTCGATTGCACTGGATCATGCAAGAGACGACTGTGAGGAGTGAGAAGATGGACATAATGTGGTTGGACTGGTTGAAAGATCTCAGAAGATGATTTGGATTTCGCCACCGATGACCTGTATCTATTGTCACACAAACTTGAAAATCTACAGTCAAAATGCAACAAGTTGACATAAAAAGTGAGATGTTGTAGGAAGACGGGACTTGAAGTGGACGTGGAGAAGACGGAGGTGGATGTGAATAAGATACCCAAACAACACCACCAACACCACCATCACTAACAACAACGACCAGCTGCAATCACCATCAATGGGAGAAACCTAGACGAATTAGTCTCTTTCACCAACCAACTAGGCAGGCAGCACAGTTTAAACTACAGGTGACGATGGTGGCACACATGAGAATGTCAAAGCCAGACAGGATTGCAAAAACAGCAAGACAGGCATTGACTAACCTGAAACCAGTGTGAAGATCTCATACACTACACTCAGCATAAAGCGTGAACAACATTCGGATATTGAACACTAATGTCAGTCAAGTGAGTCGATGCTTCTGTGTGATGTTTGACAGAGTTGGCGCGTCACGAAAGGCACTTCCACTGAACTACACACACGCATCATCAACAACTAACGCCCAAACTGGCTCGTCACCGAAGATCACATCACATCACATCAGATCACATCAGATCAGATCAGATCAGATGACCAGAATAATGAGAATAAGCAAGAATGAACTCTGGCTGGCTGGTAACGAACCAACGGAGAAGCTATCACTCAAGAAAAATGTATTGGAAGTGAGTGTAGATGTATTGTGGATACAGTGAGAAGGCGGAGTGGGGACATCGCGTGTCAGGCCAGTTGCTCGAGTGGAACGCAGATGTGTAACGACTAGTTGGGTGTTGGAGGTGAGTGTGACATTGAGGAGATTGTGTGAGGAAGAAATGAGAGTTTGTGGGCAATTGTGGAGCTGTGTTCAAAAGATTGCAGAGAACAGAGTGCACTGGAGACGTACTACTGAAGAGAAATGTTCCACTAAGAATCGAAGGGACTATATATACAACTAGGAGAACTGATGTAATTCATTTAGCTCAAAAGTCTTTAGTATTCAAACATTTTATCAAGCTTCCGTCAGTTACTTCCTGTTACCTACTCTTAGAAGTGAGTACAATAATATCATAAAACAAATTATTTATCATTATCGCCTAGAAGGGTACTTATCGCATCATAAACTAAATTTAATTTCCTTTCCAAGAAGGAGAATGGCAGAAGGTTATGATTTCCTGCTGGAACTATGACTTTTATTTCATGTCAAAAGAAAGTTAGGTTTAACAATTATTCAGATGATGTTAATCGATAGCAGGTATTGAATGCCATGGGGAATTATTCATAACCTCCCTAAGCTTTACATAATTTACATCGGTTCAATAAGAATATGTATCATTTTCACTGGATCACACTGTTCAAACCGAGATGGAAGTAAATCGCAACATCATGTTGATCTTTGTTCAATGGTTAAAATGTTTGTTAAATTCATTATCATTCAAATATCTACGTTTCAGAAATCTTCCTCACTGTTTTGCAATATTTTAGCGAAAGGAATTCACTCTGCTACATATGATTATTCCTTATAATGAAAATGGAAATTATGACGATACTAGAATGAGAAAAGGGAAGGTATTGCACATAAATCATGATACGGTTCACGTCAGTGCTTCAAAAACACCCAGAAAAGTTGTAATTTTCTTTAAAAGAAAATGGCTTTAGTCAATCTAGTCTGTAAAACAAATCCGCCAACTCAATGGACATGCGCTGGTCACGAAACCTGGAGGTCCTAGGTTCAATCCGTGGAGGGATGGAGTCATGGGTCCCCACAGCTGAGGAGTCCCATACAAGGACGAAAAAACTATCCAGTGCACTCAGGTTTTTCGAATGTTTCTCCAACTGATGTCAGTTCATGATGAATATGAACTTTAAACGGAAATAAACTATGAAAGGTATGCTTGAAAAACTGTAATTTATCACCTGCTCAACCATATATAAATACCTAATGTGCTAATTAACGAGATGTGTAAATCATACTCAGTGATCTAAAGCGCAAATAAAAAATATTCAGGACGATTAAAGGTACACGTAGACTTTCGCATCATAAGATGGGATCAATAAGTAAGTCATATTCATTTTAATTTTATAAATTTGTCCTCTGGATACATAGTGGAATATAGGCATTCAGTAGCACGCCTTCATTTCACTCTCTTCTCTCCTGTCTTCTCAACCAGGCTCACACACTACACACAGGCTTTCATTTCTTCCTCACACAATATCTTACATGTCATCTTCGACTCAGATGCCCAACACGTCATTCCCATTCATCTTCCACTCGACGGCCTCGCCTCATTTGCTACGTGATGTCCCCGAACCGTCTTCTCAGTCTATATCCTATCCTATCCCATCCCATCCAATCCAGTCCATCTCCACTCTCTTCCACTGCATATTTGTTGCGCGATAGCTTCTCCGTTGGTTGGTTCGTTGCCAGCCAGCCAGAGTGAGTTCCTCCTTGCTTATTCTCATTATCCTCGCCATTTCATCTCCATCTCCTTCTCCTTCTCCCCCTCCTTCTCCATCTCCATCCCCATCTCCTTCTCCTCCTCCTTCTCCATCTCCATCTCCAACTTCACTGTCAGTATCGAGTGAGTGTAGGTGACAGCTGTTCATGTCATGTATGTCTGTAGTTTGTTGGAAATGCTTTTCGTGATGTACCAAGTTTCTGAATCATCACGTAGAAGTACTGACTTCATTGACATTAGTGTTGAAAATGAAGATCTTGTTCACGGTCTCTGCTGAGTGGAGTGTAATGCAGTGGAGTGCAGTAGATCTCCACACTGATTTCAGATCAATGAATGAATGCGTGTCTTGCTGTCTTTCTGATGCTGGCTTTGACATCCTCACCTGTGCCGTAGGCGCCTGTATTTGAAACGATACTGCCTTGCCTAGGTGGTAGGTGAAAGAGACTATTTCCTTTATAATTCTCCCTTTGATGGTTATTGGTGCTGGTTGTTGTTGTAAGTAAGTCATACTGACCATTTAATTAAATCTAACTGGGTGAACAACTGCAATTAACGAAATATGTTACTAACGAACAATTTGAGTAGTCAGAAACCATTCAAGATGACGTAGATTAGTGGGATGTAAATATTGTATGGCCGTTTCGTTTGCTTGGAGCCGAGACCATCAGCGGTGTACTCGGACAAATTCAGCTCAAAGAGATGTATTAGTTCGGTTCACCTTGTTCTAGCCAGCACGGTCCCTTATACCTAAAATAGGACGATCAAGTCAGACAGATCAATCTAGATGGTCTGAACAAATTCGGCCCTATCAGATGAATTTATCCATGTACATCACTGATGAACTGAACTCCAAACCAGCGGAATTCTACTCATCAGCCTAAGTAGTTTCTAACTTCTCAAGTTGTTCATCAGTGTACTTCATCCTGTTCACAATACTTTCATATCATAGATTACCTATTGTGATTTTGGTTATTGGGTAGTTTCCAACAGAAATTCTGTTGACACAGTAGTTACGCTATCAAAAAGCTGTTCAATTATGGAGAATGTCAACTTGGACTATCTGATTAATCAATCATTTGCGAGTAATACCAACTAGTACTTGCAAATACATCGTATTCTAGTTCTTTTTTAACCTCAACCTGCTCTAGACTAAATTACATGGAGAAATCATTCTATGAATAACGATATATCCCCTTCTCTGTCTTACTTAGCGATACTTATGAGTAGTATCTTTCGTAGTGAAAATATCTGAGGATAACATCACTGCAATATGAATAGGATTATAACCAGAAGAAAGCTTGTTATCCTAACCTAATTCGTTTTCACTTTCTAATGTAAACTGATAAGAGTGATGGAATTGTAGAAGGAAGTCGAAAAGTCAAATTGTTGACAAGATTATACTAACCAGAAATGAAGAATTTCATGATTAACTGATGATTTACTCTAGTCATCGTGAATCCAGTTACCTGTTATTACAAATTTCATTCAAAAAAAGATAAACATTTTCTATTGTTCAATAAATAGATCAGTCAAAAAAAACTTACGGCCCATATTTGCTTGATCTCTAAAAATTATGAAAATCGAAATGTTCATTATAGAAACCAGAAGAAAAACAAAAGACAGTGTAGTTTAATAAAAAGGTTATAAATTAAATTCCATTGTGTAGGTGTGATATAACCAATGAAAGTTTAGAATATTTGAGATATGTAATTTATTTTTTCGAGGATAAGAAAAATTGAATCGACCACCACCAGTAGCCACAGAACAACGAGTGTACAAAAGCCCTTCGACGTAAGTGGAAGTCTTGAACGCCGTAAGGAAACTGAAATGCGTGAAAGCAGCAAGACCAGATGAAATCCCGCTAGAAGCACTGAGAAAAGACTCAGAGACAAAAGCAGGTATGCTAATACCATTACTACAGAAAGTATCGCAGGAAGGAAAGGTACCTGAGGACTGATTAAAAGAAGTGCTAACTTGTCGAACTCCCAAAGAAAGGAGGGTCAAGTCTTTGCAAGAACAGTCGAGAAATCATGATCCACCCTTGTCCATCACAAACAAAATATTATGTCGCACGATACTGAACAGAAAATAAACGATAATCTGGATTCTAAACTACCACCGAAACACGATGACTGGCTGGATTCAGCAAGTACAAATCATGCACCAACCACATTGCAACGATACACTACACATCATCAAACAACACAGTATAGAATGACAGTCAACTCAACTCAACTCGACCACCACATCAAATTCATCGACTTTCAAAAGGCCTTTGACAGAGTCAACCGAGATGTGATTTGACAGGCAGCTGCTTCAACACTACATAATACCACAAACCCTCATCAAACAAATTCAACAAGTATATGATGACACGATATGCCAGCCAAGTAATTCACAATGCGAAGCTCAGTGATGCCTTCGAAGTGAAGTGAGGTGAAGTGAAGTGAAGAGAGGAGTAAGACAAGCCTGCCACCTACTATCACCCATGATATTCCACATTGTGGTCGACTGCACTGGATCATGCAAGAGACGACTGTGAGGAGTGAGAATATGGACATACGTTGGCTGGACTGGGTAAAATATCCCAGAAGATGATTTGGATTTCGCCACCGATGACCTGTATCTATTGTCACACAAACTTGAAAATCTACAGTCAAAATGCAACAAGTTGACATAAAAAGTGAGATGTTGTAGGAAGACGGGACTTGAAGTGGACGAAGAGAAGACGGAGGTGGATGTGAATAAGATACCCAAACAACACCACCACCACCACCATCACCACCAACAACGACCAGCTGCAATCACCATCAATGGGAGAAACATAAACGAAGTAGTCTCTTTCACCTACCAACTAGGCAGGCAGCACAGTTTAAACCACAGGCGACGATGGTGGTACACATGAGAATGTCAAATCCAGACAGGATCGCAAAGGCAGCAAAACAGGCATTGATTAACCTGAAATCAGTGTGGAGATCTTATAAACTGCACTCAGCATAAAGCGTGAACGGAATCCGGATTCTCAACACCAATGTCAGTCAAGTGAGTCAATGCTTCTATGTGATGTTTGACAGAGTTGGCGCGTCACGAAAGGCATTTCCAACAAACTACAGATATTCATCAACAACAACTACCGCCTACACTGGCTCGTCACCGAAGATCAGATCAGATGACCAGAATAATAGGAATAAGCAACGAGGAACGAACCAACCAAGAACCTGTCGCTCAACAAATATGCAGTGGATGGAAGTGGAGATGGAGTGGATTGGGCATAAATTGAGAAGGCCTACCTACTATGGACATCACACACCAGGCCCTCGAGTGGAACCGAGATGGGAAGGGACGAGTTGTGCGTCCGAGTTGAGGGTGACATGGAGGAGATGGTGTGAGGAAGAAATGAGAGTTTGTGGGCTGTCATGGCACCAGGTTGAAATGACTGCAGAGGATAGAGTGGAATGGAGGTGTACTACTGAATCCGTATGTTGCACTAGGAACCCGAGGGACAAATAAAATATAATGTATAAAATATATGTTGTCGTGATTGCTCCTATTTCATTGTCCAAAGGTTGCTTCTATAATACGTTTACTTATCAGTGATGGTAACTATCCACTATCTCTATTGATTCAATTGTTTGGAACCAACTGTTTCTTCAAATATTTGTGGACATTAACAAAAGGAGTAAAATTTGGGCATTATAGTAACCAACCAAATTATCATAATTAACATTCTGGCAATATCCAGGTATCCGAATAGGAGCCCATATTCCAATAGAAGTCGAACAATTTGATCCAACAAAACCACAGAGAATAACAAGTATGTCAATAAATAATCATAACGATGGTGAATTGTTTATGAGAAACGTGACACACAGTGAAGGAATAATATCATTTCTTGGATAACAACGTTTCAAACAATTTATTGACCATATTCATATCAGTAGGTAACTCCACAACATTCAGACTGACTTTATATAGTCCCAATTCGCTCTACAGCTTCCTGATGACAACTGTAGTAGTAGAATTTTTCATTTATCTGTGACAAGTAAAAATCACTTCTATTACTCCATGTATTTCATGTAGATTCGATGAACAAAGATTCAGTCAGTTATCAATCTCTCACTCCCTTAACCTAACTCTATCAGTTCTTAGTACTATCGCGGAGGTAGAGGTAATTAAGATACCCAAACAACGACACCACCACCAACACCATCACCAACAACAACCACAACCAGCTGCCATCACCATCAAAGGGGGAAACCTAAACGAAGTAGTCTCTTTCACCTACCAACTAGGCAGGCAGCACAGTTTAAACCACAGGCGACGATGGTGGTACACATGAGAATGTCAAATCCAGACAGGATCGCAAAGGCAGCAAAACAGGCATTGATTAACCTGAAATCAGTGTGGAGATCTTATAAACTGCACTCAGCATAAAGCGTGAACGGAATCCGGATTCTCAACACCAATGTCAGTCAAGTGAGTCAATGCTTCTATGTGATGTTTGACAGAGTTGGCGCGTCACGAAAGGCATTTCCAACAAACTACAGATATTCATCAACAACAACTACCGCCTACACTGGCTCGTCACCGAAGATCAGATCAGATGACCAGAATAATAGGAATAAGCAACGAGGAACGAACCAACCAAGAACCTGTCGCTCAACAAATATGCAGTGGATGGAAGTGGAGATGGAGTGGATTGGGCATAAATTGAGAAGGCCTACCTACTATGGACATCACACACCAGGCCCTCGAGTGGAACCGAGATGGGAAGGGACGAGTTGTGCGTCCGAGTTGAGGGTGACATGGAGGAGATGGTGTGAGGAAGAAATGAGAGTTTGTGGGCTGTCATGGCACCAGGTTGAAATGACTGCAGAGGATAGAGTGGAATGGAGGTGTACTACTGAATCCGTATGTTGCACTAGGAACCCGAGGGACAAATAAAATATAATGTATAAAATATATGTTGTCGTGATTGCTCCTATTTCATTGTCCAAAGGTTGCTTCTATAATACGTTTACTTATCAGTGATGGTAACTATCCACTATCTCTATTGATTCAATTGTTTGGAACCAACTGTTTCTTCAAATATTTGTGGACATTAACAAAAGGAGTAAAATTTGGGCATTATAGTAACCAACCAAATTATCATAATTAACATTCTGGCAATATCCAGGTATCCGAATAGGAGCCCATATTCCAATAGAAGTCGAACAATTTGATCCAACAAAACCACAGAGAATAACAAGTATGTCAATAAATAATCATAACGATGGTGAATTGTTTATGAGAAACGTGACACACAGTGAAGGAATAATATCATTTCTTGGATAACAACGTTTCAAACAATTTATTGACCATATTCATATCAGTAGGTAACTCCACAACATTCAGACTGACTTTATATAGTCCCAATTCGCTCTACAGCTTCCTGATGACAACTGTAGTAGTAGAATTTTTCATTTATCTGTGACAAGTAAAAATCACTTCTATTACTCCATGTATTTCATGTAGATTCGATGAACAAAGATTCAGTCAGTTATCAATCTCTCACTCCCTTAACCTAACTCTATCAGTTCTTAGTACTATCGCGGAGGTAGAGGTAATTAAGATACCCAAACAACGACACCACCACCAACACCATCACCAACAACAACCACAACCAGCTGCCATCACCATCAAAGGGGGAAACCTAAACGAAGTAGTCTCTTTCACCTACCAACTAGGCAGACAACACAGTTTAAACTACAGGTGACGATGGTGGTACACATGAGAATGTCAAATCCAGACAGGATCAGAAAGACAGCAAGACAGGTGTTCATTGACCTGAAATCAGTGTGGAGATCTTCTGCACTGCACTCAGCATAAAACGTGAACGGCATCCGGATTCTCAACACCAATGTCAGTCAAGTGAGTCAGTGCTTCTATGTGATGGTTGAGAGAGTTGGCGCGTCACGAAAGGCATTTCCAACAAACTACAGACATTCACCAAAAACTGCCACCTACGGTGGCTCGATATTGAAGATCTATCAGATGGCCAGAATAATAGGAATAAGCAACAGGGAACGAACCAACCAAGAACCTGTCGCTCAACAAATATGCAGTGAATGGAAGTGGAGATGGAGTGGATTGGGCATAAATTGAGAAGGCCTACCTACTATGGACATAACACGTCACGCCCTCGAGTGGAACACAGATGGGAAGGGACGAGTTGGGCGTCCGAGTTGAGGGTGACATGGAGGAGATGGTGTGAGGAAGAAATGAGAGTTTGTGGACTGTCATGGCAACAGGTTGAAATGACTGCAGAGAATAGAGTGGAATGGAGGTGTACTACTGAATCCGTATGTTGCACTCCGAACCCAAGGGACAAATAAAATATATGTAGCCGTGATTGCTCCTATGTCATTGTCCAAAGGTTGCTTCTATAATACGTTTACTTATCAGTGATGGTAACTGTCCACTATCTCTATTGATTCAATTGTTTGGAATCAACTGTTTCTTCAAATATTTGTGGACATTAACAAAAGGAGTAAAATTTGGGCATTATAGTAACCAACCAAATTATCATAATTAACATTCTGGCAATATTCAGGCATCCGAATAGGAGCCCATATACCAATAGAGGTCGAACAATTTGATCCAACAAAACCACAGAGTATAACAAGTATGTCAATAAATAATAATAACGATGGTGAATTGTTATGAGAAATGTGACACACAGTGAAGGAACAATATCATTTCGTGGATAACAACGTTTCAAACAATTTATTGACCATATTCATATCAGTAGGTAACTCCACAACATTCAGACTGACTTTATATAGTCCCAATTCGCTCTACAGCTTCCTGATGACAACTGTAGTAGTAGAATTTTTCATTTATCTGTGACAAGTAAAAATCACTTCTATTACTCCATGTATTTCATGTAGATTCGATGAACAAAGATTCAGTCAGTTATCAATCTCTCACTCCCTTAACCTAACTCTATCAGTTCTTAGTACTATCGCGGAGGTAGAGGTAATTAAGATACCCAAACAACGACACCACCACCAACACCATCACCAACAACAACCACAACCAGCTGCCATCACCATCAAAGGGGGAAACCTAAACGAAGTAGTCTCTTTCACCTACCAACTAGGCAGACAACACAGTTTAAACTACAGGTGACGATGGTGGTACACATGAGAATGTCAAAGCCAGACAGGATTGCAAAGGCAGCAAGACAGGCATTGATTAACCTAAAATCAGTGTGGAGATTTTCTGCACTACACTCAGCATAAAGCCTGAACAACATCTGGATATTGAACACCAATGTCAGTCAAGTGAGTCAGTGCTACTATCTGATGGTTGGGAGAGTCAGCGCGTTACGAAGGACATTTCAAGTGAACTACAGACAAGCATCATCAACAACTGCCTGTCATTCTACGATGAATAACACCTTGAAATATTTCCAAATCTCTACAACTCCATGAAAATTAAATTGGAATTACAATCTACTATATTGCCCAAGTTTTACTCCTATACAATTTGTTTATTGAATCTTAGAGGAGAACTTGTTAAGATGTATTCATTTGTTTTCTTACTATGATTCATTGAATTTTTAACTGAAATGACTTACATTTTTTCACATTGTGATGAACGTTTTGAATTCTGTCCACTGCTTATACTTGGTGCATTCACAGTCACAGCAGGTACAGTTCTATACTGTGTTGTTGAATCAGTCTGTTCATCAGTTTCAGTGTTTGGGATATCCAAAAGATCCAGAAGAGCATACAATGTTGACATTAAAATACGAAACTGGAATAGAGAATAAGAAATGAAACTATAAAAAAAACAACTTTTATCTTATTATTACATTAAAGCTCTTTTTTTCAACAAGAAGGTTAGTAGACAAACTATGAGGAAAACAAAAATTATTGTAAAACGTTTGTCCTAATGATTCTTTCGATCCTTTTGTTTAGTTATCCGGATCATAAGAAACTTTATAATCTCATTCACTTGTCAGTGTAAAAACAACTGCCATGGAGATAACTACTGATGGAGTCTAGAAGATTCCTCTTCTTCTGTTTGAAACTAAATAACTGGATCCATTCGCATCTCTGTGAACGTTTTACCTTCATTGAAACTGAAGCCTAACCTCCATCACTTTCAGCATGGAAGCCTTATCTACCAGCCTATTCAACCACGACACATCTTATCAGCTTAGTATCCTAATGGATAATGCTTTAACATATGAAGCAGTTGAGTACTTTGTTCAATTCTTACCTAGAGAATCATCTACCAACAGGATATACGTACATCCTGTTGACTATTCACCGATAAGATGAAGTTCATCATCAGGACTCCATTACCATCAACTATCATGTAAGTTTCAAAAAAGTGAAATTTGGAGTTTTGACCTTTCAAATATCATATGAAAGTTAATACTGATGATGTTGCCTGGAAGTAGAATCAAAGCTTCAGGTGTAAACTATACAGCTCAGACTTTGCAATGACGCCAGGATCATCCATTTGAGACGCAGATATTCTTCCTCATTATACGTTTCTATGACTAAGAACTGACTGACTACATAATCAGTCGTGATAACAGCTCTTCTCCTATGTCGGATTTTTTAATTTTTTCCATTTGTATTGTGCTTTGAAGTTTCTTTAACGATTGCATTGGTTTTACGAGGATAGGGTTGCTAGCCCTATTCCCAACCTTTCATCTTCCAGGCTTTGAATCGGCTAGTATTTAGTGAACTAGTAAACTAGGCGTGGTCTCTTTTATCTGCCATCTAGGCAAAGCAACATTGCCTCAAATACAGGTGACGGTGGCAGCACAAATGAAGATATCGTGATGTCAGGATCGGAAAGACAGCAAGACAGGCATTGATTAACCTGAAATCAGTGTGGAGATCTACTGCACTCCACTGCATTACACTCAACTCAGCAGCAGCGGGAACAAGATCTTCATTTTCAACACTAATGTCAGTGAAGTCAGTACTTCTACGTGATGAAAGAGACTTGGTGCATCACGAAAAGCATTTCCAACAAACTACAGACATACATGACATGAACAGCTGCCACTTACACTCACACGATACTGACAGCGAAGTTGGAGATTGAGATTGAGATTGAGATGGAGATGAGATGGCGAGGATAGTAAGAATGAGGAAGGAGGAACTCAGTGTGGCTGGCTGGTTGGCTGGCTGGCTGGCTGGCTGGCAACGAACCAACCAGCGCAGAAGCTATCGCTCAACAAATATGCAGTGGAAGAGAGTGGAGATGGATTGGATTGGATTGGATGGGATAGGATAGGATATAGACTGAGAAGACGGTTCGGGGACATCACGTACCAGGTCAGACGAGGCCGTCAAGTGGAAGATGAATGGGAATGACGTGTTGGGCATCTGAGTCGAAGATGACATGTAAGATATTGTGTGAGGAAGAAATGAAAGCTTGTGGGTAGTGTGGGAGTCTGGTTTAGAAGACAGGAGAGAAGAGAGTGAAATGAAGGCGTGCTACTGAATGCCTATATTCCACTATGTACCCAAAGGACAAATAATAGTAATAGTCCTATGGCGGATAGTTTGAACTTAGTATCATTCATTTCAATTAAGCACTTTGGGTCGACAACATCCACTCAGGGGCGAAAACTCCTGATTAACTAATAACTCCTTACAGGCCAACAAATGAATTACTATCCAGTTGTGTTTAGTAAGTTGCTCTGACAAGGATTTCTTGAAGATGCGATGGGAATTTTTAAAATTTAGGATCAATCAATTCGAAAGTGTGAAGTCATACCCATTTATAACTTTAGATGATGGATGAGGAGGAAGATTAGAAGAAATAAACATGCATCATTGAATTCCGAACCAGTAGGCATATGGTGACAGAATGGGATTTGATGACCCATGGTTCAACCTCTCATGAGTTTGTGTATGTGTACTGCTGAGTTACAAGTAAGAACAAGACAAGGAATGCATGTACATCCAGCTGACCAGTCTCAAATTGAACAAAACGCATCTTGTCGATTCTACTGCTGCCACTAGAGAGAAACCATTTTTTCACTGCTCTCAGATTTACAATGGTTCTCTAAATGATTCATATTGAAAATTACTTCCAAACCAATAAATTCCTACAAACTGACAATTCGATTAGTATTTTATTAATTTGTATGCAGAAGGAACAAATCAGTATGATTTTAAGATAGGAAGCCTAATGACGTATATTCTTATTAAAACAAGGAAATATACAGCCGAACATATTATTCTACAGAAAAAGAAAATCTTGCTGTAACATCCACTTCAACTTTGATTACGTCACATCGTGTTTGGGATGACCTAGATTAGGAGGAATAATCGATCTTTGAAGTCTAAGGGTAGTGGAACATGTCCACAAATTTATAAATAACTTCACAAGAAATCGAAAGCAAAGTATTAGCAGTAGTAGTAGTAGTAGTAGTAGTAGTAGTAGTAGTAGTAGTAGTAGTAGTAGTAGTAGTAGTAATACAAGTATTACTATCAATAATTCTACAATTAGCAGTAATAAAAGTAACAGAGTTGAGAGAGAATTCAAAGCCTCCACTGTGTTAGCATACAAGGAAAGCACCTGTGAAGCATTACAAAACATTCTCAATAAGGTTGGCTGGGATTACAGTGTCTGACATTTACACCAACCAACTAGCTTAGAAACATGCTTTGTATGTTAAAAGATCCCATTGATGCCATTCGGCAAAATAATTTAGCACACCAAATCCCTTGCGGGACAGACGAGGATGTCAAAGTCAGAATCGGAAAAGCAAGACAGGCGTTGATTAGCCTGAAACCAGTGTCGAGATCTTCTGCACTCAGCATGCGGAACAAGATACGGATTTTCAACACCAATGCCATTCAAGTCAGTGCTTCTGTATGGCTCAGAGACTTGGCGCGTCTCGAAAGGGATTTTCAATAAACTACAGACATTCATCAACAACTGCCGCCTACACTGGCTCGATACTGAAGATCATATGGCCGGAAAGAAAAAGCAACAAGGAGCTCTTGGAACGAACCATCCAAGAACCTATCACCCAACAAATATGCAGTGGAAGGAAGTGGAGATGGATTGGGTATACAGTGAGAAGGCGGACTGGGGACATTACAAGTCAGGCCAGTCCCTCGAGTGGAATCCCCATGGGAAGCGACGAATTGGACGTCGCAGCTGAGGGTGACATGGAGGAGATCGTGGGAGGAGGAAATGAGAGATTGTGGGCTGTCGTGGAACCAGGTTCAAAAGATTTTTGAGGACAGAGGTCACCGGAGACGTGCTACTGAAGCCCTATGTTCCACTAGGAACCCAAGGGACTAATAATATAATAAATCTCTTGCAATACTTACGAGGTTAAATAGGTGTGTTGAAGTAGTCGACTGGGTTCAATTAGAATAATAGAAGACAGAAGCTTAGTTCAATGAAGATTAGTAGATCCTAATAAAATAAGAGAGTTCGAGAGAAGTTGGTCTCAGCTCTGCACACAATTACACATATTTTATAGAATTAATGTGGTATGGAGTGACAGTACTGAGAACTGATAGAGTTAGGTTAAGGGAGTGAGAGATTGATAACTGACTGAATCTTTGTTCATCAAATCTACATGAAATACATGGAGTAATTAAAGTGATTTTTACTTGTAGCAGATCAATGAAAAATTCTACTACTACAGTTGTCATCAGGAAGCTGTAGAGCGAATTGGGACTATATAAAGTCAGTCTGAATGTTGTGGAGTTACCTACTGATATGAATATGGTCAATAAATTGTTTGAAACGTTGTTATCCACGAAATGATATTGTTCCTTCACTGTGTGTCACATTTCTCATAAACAATTCACCATCGTTATTATTATTTATTGACATACTTGTTATACTCTGTGGTTTTGTTGGATCAAATTGTTCGACCTCTATTGGTATATGGGCTCCTATTCGGATGCCTGAATATTGCCAGAATGTTAATTATGATAATTTGGTTGGTTACTATAATGCCCAAATTTTACTCCTTTTGTTAATGTCCACAAATATTTGAAGAAACAGTTGATTCCAAACAATTGAATCAATAGAGATAGTGGATAGTTACCATCACTGATAAGTAAACGTATTATAGAAGCAACCTTTGGACAATGACATAGGAGCAATCACGGCTACATATATTTTATTTGTCCCTTGGGTTCGGAGTGCAACATACGGATTCAGTAGTACACCTCCATTCCACTCTATTCTCTGCAGTCATTTCAACCTGTTGCCATGACAGTCCACAAACTCTCATTTCGTCCTCACACCATCTCCTCCATGTCACCCTCAACTCGGACGCCCAACTCGTCCCTTCCCATCTGTGTTCCACTCGAGGGCGTGACGTGTTATGTCCATAGTAGGTAGGCCTTCTCAATTTATGCCCAATCCACTCCATCTCCACTTCCATTCACTGCATATTTGTTGAGCGACAGGTTCTTGGTTGGTTCGTTCCCTGTTGCTTATTCCTATTATTCTGGCCATCTGATAGATCTTCAATATCGAGCCACCGTAGGTGGCAGTTTTTGGTGAATGTCTGTAGTTTGTTGGAAATGCCTTTCGTGACGCGCCAACTCTCTCAACCATCACATAGAAGCACTGACTCACTTGACTGACATTGGTGTTGAGAATCCGGATGCCGTTCACGTTTTATGCTGAGTGCAGTGCAGAAGATCTCCACACTGATTTCAGGTCAATGAACACCTGTCTTGCTGTCTTTCTGATCCTGTCTGGATTTGACATTCTCATGTGTACCACCATCGTCACCTGTAGTTTAA